ACTCCACTCAAATCTTCTCCGGATCATAAGTTTCCTAAAAAATTAGAAATGGAAGACTATCGTGAAAGGCCTTTAGTGCAATGTCTAGAAGAGGACGAAGTGCTGTCAAGACCACAAGGTCAAGTTCCTATATTGTCAAGTTCTCCAGCAGAACGCCAAGTTGAAAGACCTGAAATAGCTAAACACCCTGATGACGGTCAGTTGTCAGAGCGAGATTTGGAGGAGAAAAAGCGAACATCATTCGGGAGAGGTGCCGAAAAAACTTGTCCGCCAATGTCTTCTGATAATCGGCTTCAGCTATTGACGCACGTTCCTGAGAAGAAAGTCCGAACACAGCTGAAGCCAGAAACCCAAGCCCCTATACAGTTGAAATCGCCAGGAGATGAGGATCAGCTTGAGAAGCTGAGCACACCGGAAGACGCAGGTAGCCGTCTGCCCTTAAAGCCAGTACTGGACAAGATAAAACAAGGTATTTTTCAGACGGACAAATCAGATCAGCGTCAAACAATACCTGAAAAGAATCAACGAACCCTCGAACCTCCTGACGAATCAGCGAAGAGTGATTTGGGACAGGCATCACTCGAAGCTCTGGAGAAGAGAAATCGTCCGTTGTTAAATAAAATTAATCAAGGCCCTATTCTGCCATGGACTCCAGAGGAGAGGCGTTGGGTTGACAGGCGTGAAGCGAAAAACGAAACTAACGGCAAGCCGCTGCTTCAACTAGTTTTTGACAAGAAAGACCAGGGCTTGGTCAAACGGGAGAGTGTGGGACAACCTCCGGAAGGGTCTCCTAAAGACCAGTGGCATTTTCAAACCACCGAAGGAGGTTTGAACGATGGTCGCGGTCAACCACACGCGCAGGTTCTTGAAAGGCAAGAGCGGCAGCCATTCAGGCCGAAATTTCCGGATCCTAAAAGCTTGAAGCCTTTTGAAGATAACACTGAGTTTCAAAAATTGGTTATGCCAGCTGATGTTCCCGACGATCAATTATCGGAGTCAGCTGTTGAAAATGGAAACCGAGAGCTGTTTAAAGCATATGGTTCAGATGGGCGTCCAACAATAGCTCGTGAGGATCAAAGTTCAGATAAATCAGTTAAAATGGGTGGTGAACAGTCACTCATGGAACCTAGGGAAAGAAAAAATCTTACGTTGCTAGTGCCAAAGTATCAAGGCCCCATTCGTCCAAGATCTCCTGAGGACAGGCACCAGGTTGGTAGGCGTGAACTCGAAAAAGACGCTAAAGACAAGCAGTTTATACAGCAATATGTGAACACAAAAGGCCAAGGTCTGATGGATTTCAATAATCTGAGAAAATTTCACGAAAGGTCCCCTGAAGAACAACGGCACCTTCAAGCTACCGAAGAACGTGTGAGGGGCGGTCCCGGTCAGCCACCCGAACACATTCTGGAGAGGCAAGGGCAGCAGCTATTGGAATCGGAATTTCAGGTTCCCGTCAACCCAGAAGCTCCTGAAGAAGACAGTCAGCTCAAGAATTTGACCACACCAAAAGATGCTCGTAGCAGTCAAATATCAAAGCCATGTTCCAACAAGGAAGAAAAAGAGCTGTTTATAGCGGAAGATTCAAGCCAACGTCAGTTAATGTCTCTCGAGGAACAAAGACAGCTTCAAGCTCGCAATGAGTCAGTGAGAAAAGATGGCGAACAGCCATCGGTTCAAGCACTGGAAAAAAGAGAGCATTCGATGTTAACGCGAAAGGAGCAAGGCCCCATTTTGCCAAGGTCTCCCGTGGACAGACACCAAGTACGTGAACTGGACGTTAACAACGACGTGTACAGAAAGCAGTTGCTACCGCACGTCTTTGACAAGAGAGTCGAACTCTTCCTGAAGGCGGAGAGACCGGGAGAACTTCAGACAAGATCACCTGAAGGCCAACGACGCCTTGAAACTACCGAAGGAGGTACGAGCGGTGGTCGCAGTCAGCCACATGGAGAAGTTTTAAAGAGACAAGAACGGCAACTATTAGAATCGGAACTCCAGGGTCCGCTCAGCTCGAAACCTCCTGGGAATGTAAGTCAACTTGAGAAATATAACACACCGAAAAATGCTGGAGGCGTTCAATCATCCCAGCCAACTTTGGACAACAAAGATCGAGGACTATTCAAATGGAATTCTCCAGGACAAATTCAAAGAGTATCGCCTGAAGATCAGAGACAGCTTCAAAGTCTCGGTGGATCAGTGAAGGGGGATCGTGCAGAGCCATTTTTGCAAGCTCTAGGAAAAAGAGATTCTCATCTGTTAACACAAAAAGATGAAGGACCGATTCTGCCAGGGTCTTCTGAGGAAAGGCTCCAACTTAAGAGGCGTGAAGCAGACAAAGACGCTCACGACAAACAGTTACTACCGAAAGTCGCTGACAATGAAAATCAAGAACTCTTCGAGACAGACCGTGGATCAATGTCTCTCGAGGAACAAAGAGAGCTTCACACTCCCAATGAGTCAGTGAAGAAAGATGACGAACAGCCATCAGTTCAAGCACTGGAAAAAAGAGAGCATTCGATGTTAACGCGAAAGGAGCAAGGCCTCATTTTGCCAAGGTCTCCCGTGGACAGACTTCAAGTAGATGAACTCGACTTTAAAAAAGACGTGTACAGAAAGCAGTTGCTACCGCACGCCTTTGACAAGAGAGACGAACTCCTCCTGAAGGCGGAGAGACTGGGAGAACTTCAGACAAGATCACCTGAAGCCCGACGACGCCTTGAAACTACCGAAGGAGGTACGAGCGGTGGTCGCAGTCAGCCACATGGAGAACTTTTAGAGAGACAAGAACGGCAACTATTAGAATCGGAACTCGAGGGTCCGCTCAGCTCAAAACCTAATGGGAATGTAAGTCAGCTGGAAAAATATGTTACGCCAAAAAATGCTAGCGGCGTTCAATCATCCCAGCCAGCTTTGGACAACATAGAGCGAGGACTATTCAAATGGAATTCTCCAGAAAAATTTCAAAGAGTATCGCCTGAAAATCAGAGACAACTTCAAAGTCTCGGTGGATCAGTGAAGGAAAGATACCAACCGCTGTTGGAGCAGAATGATGAGGGTCCCATTTTTCCAAAGCCTTCCGAACGCAGGCGTCAGGTTCAAAAGCCCGAAAAAGACAAAGATACGTACAAGCAGATATTACAGAGCGATCTTGACAGGAAAGACAAGCAGATATTACAGAGCGATCTTGACAGGAAAGACCAAGAATTGTTGAAATTGGGCAATCGAAAACAGTTACAAGCAAGCCTCCTCGAAGACCAAAGACTCCTTCAATCTACCAAAGAAGGCATGTGGAGTGGTCGCGTTCAGCCCCCCGTTAATGTTAATGAGAGACAAGATCAGCAGCTACTGGAACCAAATTTTCAGAGTACTGGGAGGTATACATATTCTGAACAGGATCCTCAGCGTGAAGAATTTGATTCGGGTGGCGGTGGACAGCTTAAAGTGCATTCGCCCGGACAGTTTCAAGCAAGGTCACCTGACGAGCAAAAAAGCATCCAGGTAAGCGAAAAAACTATAGATAATCAGGGCGAGCTTTCAGCGCAATTTAATGAGACTGAAGACCGGCCGCTGCAGGACATTGCAATACCAGAACCTTCTCGTTTAATACCTTTCGGGGACGAGCAGCTGTCAGAAGCGTTTGACAATGGTACCGCAAATGATCGCCGGTCGATATTAAAGCCATATGCAGAGGAGGGGGAGCGAGAACTATTCAGGTTGAGTCCCCCAGGACCGTTTCAATCCATGACCTCAGAGAAGGAAATTTCCATCGTACAATCAGAGGAAGCGGCGAAAACTTACCTCAATGGTCCAATTCTCGAGCGGATATTTAAGGAGAAGGGTGAGCTCCCAGAGTCAAGTGCTCCCAGACCTATCCAATCAAGGTACCCACGAGTTGAGAATAAAGTTGAGGGACCACGAAGGACCATCGATGCTCAGTTCAATTTGGAGCCAGAATTAGAGACGGCTGCTCGTTCGAAGAAAGAGACGTTTCTTGTGGAAACCTCTCCTCCATCCTCCCAAATGTGGCGAGGGTACAGTCCGTTCTCCACGATCAATCCAAGAGAGGAAATCCCCGACGCCGTTTCGCCGCTATCCACAAGTACGGGACAAGAGCGTACAAACGGCAGGTTAACAAGACTCCTTACTGAATTTCCAAACGATAAAACAAGCGGCACTGTGAGATTAACAAAACTCGTTACGGAATTTCCAGATAATGATGAGACCTCAGCAGTTGAGGAACAGCGATTAGTCCCAAGCAGCCACTCGGAAGTGGAGCGAATCGGCCGGGCTGCCATGTACTTTTTAGTGCCTGATAACACAGATCCCTCACACGACGTCGGCGAAGTGTCAAAGGATTCCCGGATCTCCGGCAGGAACGCGCATGAAAGCTCACCGAGGGACCGGCGGTCGCGGTGGGCACCTTACGAGTTATCTTCCCCGACTTATCAACTGTCGACACCCGAAGACATGGCGAGAAGTTCGGATGCTCAAACTTCCGGTTCGCCAGTGGTGGCACAGGGAAGCAAAGACCTCATTAATTTTCAGGCTGAGCCAACGAAGCAAACCAGTTATCTGAACAGTGAGGCTGGGAAAGGATCAAGGCCCACGACACCGGACTCGAGTGCAGCGAGCCCCAAGGAGAATCCCAAGAAGGAATCACCGGACTAAATTACCTTCCCAAGATTATTGAGAGGTCATCAAACAGGGAGTTCACAAGAGCATGTAATAACACGAACATGAGAGGTAGAAAAATGGACAAAACAAATTTGAAGCCAAGCAGAATCGAGTACAAATTTGCCGGCAGATCATCCACTTGCAAGCAAAATGATTCACCACCGTGTCATATTTTATGTGCGGTCCTGTGCGTCTTCTATGTAGTTCCTCAGCACGGCCACCACGTAGGCTTTGTGCCCACTGGTATACTAACAAAGCCGGATCACGTGTGCTGCAATGGTAAAGTTCCCGAATGTTCTACTCCAAAGACAAACTGAAGAACCAACCTGTGGGTTCCAGAACGAGTTGCAGGTCCTCACGCCTCTTACGGTGTGTCTCTGTCCGTTCATCTCGAAAGTGACGTTCTTCACGGCGCACTCCGGGGCTGGTCCCCTGTCACCGGGCGAGAAGTGAGCGTATATTCAAATAATTAGTTAATAAACACTGTGACTAACAGGCAAATTACTCTATTGTAACAATACTACTTTGGGATAATTCAATTCAATTATTGTTCGTCCGAATGCCGTTTTGCAGTTCGGCACTCTGCACTTCGATGCTTAACAGAAGCAACCGCGTAGTATTTCTAGCAGTAATCCATATTGATAGTTATTATACAGCGCTCTGTACAATTCTGTTTTACAGGACCACCAGCGCAGGAGTTTTTAATGTAACACTTATTATTATTGGCACCTCGAATTGCTGTTTATCGGACCCCGCAATTTCGTACTGGCTTATACAGAACCAATGATTCCTGGGGATATTTGCCCAAATAAATGAATATAGAATTTACAGGGTGTACGCTTTTGTCCATGTTGCATCATGACTCCCCTCGCTTCGCCTGTGGCGTGGGTTTGTGATACATGAGCGCGGGGAGATTCACAGATTGATCGTGAAGCCTAGTTCAGGCAGTTCCGTTGCTTGTGTTTTTCCAGGCTTCCCTTTTTTTATTACTTCTCTCTCTCTCTCTTCCTCTTTGTTTGTGTTCAGAACGGCCCAAGCCGCAGCAAGTTTTCGCCGCGCATGGAACGTGTCAAGCAATGCAAAAAGTATAGCTACGCCAAGCAATCATGTGTCGATGTTATCCGGGCATTCCATTCGTTGTTATGGTTTTGGTTGCTCATGGACGCAACCGATACAAATGTGTGAACTAGTATCACTAACTAGCGTGAACTAGACGTGTGGGAACTAGCCTTTAGTTGTTTTCCCCCACCAACAATCACCGCAAAAAAAAAAAAAAAAAACTTGAAGGCAGGCGATGTGCGTTCGTCGCCTAATTTCGAAGCCAGAACAAGCGGCCACATGAACTGGTGCCAATATATATTTCGTTTTATTACCCAGGCATCGAAGGTAATTCCGGGAACGTATAGGTGCACGTGCTGCATTTACCAGCATCTGCAGCAGTAACTGTCATAAAAAAATATTAAAAAACATCTAAAACAATTGGCGCTTTGCACGTGCGTTCATCGATACCTCAGTTCAGTTATTTACCTCGATTATTCTATGCAGATGGGAGCGCGTGCAGTACGTGCACTTAAAGGGAAGCTGAAGCGATTTTGACTTTGACTGCAAACACTCGATTATTTTAAATACAACTTCAAGGATCACGAATATCACAAAAAGTAAGCTAGTTCATGCCCTTATAGGCCATATGCAAAATCCTTGCAAGCTACCTTTATCATGCCATTATGAGCCGCCGTGTTTTTTTGTTTTTTTTTTTCACACCATCCAATTGTGGACGAGGCGCATCAGCATTTAACTCTGCTTTCATGACATTATGACTGTTTATTTGTGCACTCAACGGTTATCTGTTAGTTTCGGTTCACAGAAGAAAAGAAAGACGGCCGCGAAATTCTGGAAAGGAATTGTCAGCAGCGAGGTTAGAGTGTACTAGAAGGACCGAGTGCCGGGGCGACCGGAGTGCTATTTAGGTACCTCAGAATGTGGAAAAAACCGGCTAAACCAAGCCACTTTGCTCGTAGTGCCCTCTCGGGCACTACGAGCAAAGCGGTTCGGATTAGCCGGTTTTTATGAAAAACGCGTTGCGTTCCAACGCCATGATCGTTCCACAAGCGGCGGCGCCGAAAAAACGCTTCGGTCGTCTCACTCAGTCCTTTCTAGTACACTCTACGAAAGTGGCGCTGCGATCGAAGTGGCTTGGTTTCACCTGATCGCTTTTCACATTTTGAGGTGCAACTGAAAGCATGAGCGGAGCCTGTAGCTCGTCCCACTCGTTCCTTCTAGTACACTCTAGCGAGGTCGCAAGACTCGTCACTCAAGCAGTGAACAGGGCCATTCAGGTCAGTCTTTACCGAAGACTTTTTGTGAAGGTTTCGTGCCGGACTTGCAGCAGGTGAATATATTTTATAGTTCTACCACTCCCACTTTGCCAGGACCATTGTCTCTCGTGTTATCTTAGTACTTAATTCATGTCGGAAGATTAAAAGGGCTTCTTACGCAAGCTTATGGGTATCGCACTTTCGCACACAGCGTGCCCCGGCCGCACGAGCTATCGTCGTCCTTATTCTTCTTCCAAGAGGTCGCTTGTTTTAAGAAAAACTCTACATTCGACCGTCCTGGAGCCTTAATGTCCTTGTTAAGTTTGAAGATACACACAAATATCAAGGTAATAAACGAACACTCACGCAAATAACAATTAGTAAACTACTTCACATTATACAGTCCCGCGGCATAAAAGACCATGTGCGTTTCTTTGCGGGCCTTCTAGCAGCTGGACGTTCCTTTTGCTTGTCTCCTGAATCTTTGGAGGCGTGTCGTCGTCAAGCTGGGGCGATGCCGACGTCGTTGCCCAGAACTTGAATCGAGCTTTGCAACTCGATAGGTATCTCCAGGCAACACCTGGGTGACAACCACGGGTCCTCGGTACTTTGGTTGTGTCTTCGTTGGGTTTCCGGTGTATTGTGTTGCTCTCCTCATAAATACAACTGCCGCCACGTCGTACAGCTTTGCTGGGTGGTGTCGACGATCATACGCCTGCTTGCTTCCTTCCTCTTCCTCCCACAACCGTTGCTTTACACGTACTCGCAGCTCGCTAGGATCTTTCCATGTGGCTTCATCATCCAATGCTAGCTCCAGTAGCGCAATTCCGTAGAAGCTCGGCTTGCATCTATGAAGCAGTTCGAATGGTGTTTTCCCTGTTGACTTGCTCACCGCATTGTTCAGGCTGCACTCTGCGCGTTTGAGTTAACGTCCCACTCTCGGTAATAGGGATTCTTCATGGCCGTTGTGATGACATGTAGCACTGTCCGGTTTACTCGTTCGACCTGACCGTTGGTCTGCGGATGTCGTAAAGAGTTTAGCACGCGTTTTATGGTTCGTGTCGTGCAGAACTCTTCGAACAATTTCAATGCAAAACAACTTCCTCTGTTTGTGACTATGGTTTTAGGCAGATCTTTCTCAGGTATGAATCTCTCCTACGCACACAGCACATGCTTGGCTGACATATCTCAAGTAGCAAAAAGTCGCACAAACTTTGTTGAGTTGTCAGCGATAACCATGAGGTGATGGTTGAGCTTCTTGTTTGGAACAAACGGTCCAATATATTCGAGGTGCACTCTCTCGAAGGTGCGCTTGCCAGGTGGGATGGGGTTGAGGAGTATTTCCTTTATTCCGCCAGGTTCTTTGTTGAAAATGCATTCAAAGCACTGCGAGATGTACTTGCTCACATAGTTGTGCATCCGAGGAAACCAAAAAGTTTTCTGAAGCTTTGCGACCGTTCTGTCCAAAAATGTCCTAAGAGGTCGTAGCACTGCACCATTTCCGCTTTATGAATTGCCTTGGGCAACACAAACTTCATTGATCTTTGCTTTTTTTATCAATGGTTTGCATGAACTCGCAATCCTTGAGAGCTTAGTCCTTAGCTTTTCTCCTGTCCTCCTTAGTACGGAAGTCTTCTGGTTTCTTCAGTATCTCAAACAGCTGGCGCATCTCCTTGTCTTCTCTTTGAATGGCTCCAGGCTGCAAAATGGAATGGAATGACTCCAGGCTGCAAGTCAGGCACACTTCAAAGCTTACTTTCAGAATATCGTGAATTGTGTCGCTCGAGCCTTCCACAGATTGCCGACCCAAAGAGCCAACATGCTGCATTTGGGTATCATGTCTGTGCCTGATCGTGAAGTCAAATTCCTGATAGAGGTCATACCAACGCGCGATTTGAGGCTTCTTAATTCGCTGGGCATTCAAGTGGACGAGCGCTTGAAAGACTGTAACCACCGTGAACTAGATTCCCAAGTGTAGGGATCTCAGTCGGTTCACTGACCAAACAATGGCCATGAGTTCCAGTCTTGTTGAGTGATACTTGCTCTCAGCCTCAGTGGTCTTTTTTCTCAAACAGACAAAATGCCACTTATTGTCCTTTCGTTGTATCAACAATCCTGCCAGCCCCGTTAAACTAGCATCTATATGCAATCCGGTCTCTGCCTTAGGGTCAAAAAGTTGTAACCCAGGCTTCGACGTGAGGCGCCCTTTCAGGCCCTGAAAGCTGTTGTCTCGTTCTGTTTCCCACTAGTAAACAGCGTTTTTCTTTGTCAGTCAGTCTTGTCAATGGTTTGGCGATCAAAGCATATTTAGGGATGAATAGCTGAAAAAAATCCACTCAGTCCCAAGAATTGCCTTATGTCATGCACATTCTGAGGAGTGGAACACTGGGCGATTGCATTAATCTTGGTCTCTCCTCGCTGCACCTGCCCTCCGTTCAAGCGGAACCCCAGAAAATTCACGCTATCTTTGGCGGACGCGCACTTTTTGAGGCGCAAGGTCAAATTTGCATCCTTGAAAACTTGCAAAACTTGTAACCGGTGAACCATGTCGTTTCAGTCTTGTGCGGGGATGAGAACATCATTTAAGTAACACATCACCACTCGTACTCTTAGGGGTCTACGGTTTATAGTGCGTTGGAATATGGCTGGTGGATCCGTGAGGTCAAACGTCATATATTCGAACTGGCGTGTTTCATCTGGTGTGATAAACGCAGTCTTACGTTTAGCTTCTCTTGTTAAGGATACTTGCAAGTATCTATGCGCATGATCCAGAACCATGCAGAGTGTCGCATAAGCAAGTCTTTCAAACTGATCATCGATGCTGCGTCAAGGATACTTCTCCTTTACTGACTAGGCGTTCAGTCTCCTATAGTCGACCATCATCCGCTTTCTTTTTCCAATTTTCTTGTGAACTACTAGCACAGGGCTAGCATAAGCGGAGCTTGTATCGGTAACAACACCGACACATTTTCATTCCTTAACAATCTTGCGTATTCTTCCCGTCCTTCGGTGTTTGCACGGTATGGTCGCACAGGAAAAGGGGTTGTTCCCGCAGTTTCAACAATGTTCATTTCAACGACTTATTTGCAAACCATTTCACTTGAAGTCATTGCAAAGCACTCTCTGAATTGGTACAATAGTTCTACGAGTTCAGACTCTTGCAGCTTTGTTACTGCAGGTCCAGCGTTAACTTATGTCCCCTAGATGGGTCGTCTCTCCCTTCCGCTCTCCCTGCTTTCGTAGCGCTCGATGTGGCCTTCATGAGTGTCATTGATGTCTACCTGCGAGATCTCAACTGACTTGGCTCGCCCAAGTGTTTGCCCTTTCCTGATGACGATATCTCCATTAGTTGCAGGATACATAGGTTCTGTGACCTCACCGAGGGTCATTTCAATCAGGACATCCATCGCGTAGTGTCTGTAAATGACGAGGCCTATGACCCTGCTTTTCTCCCATCAGGGTGATCTAGTTGACCAAGTATTTCTTGAAAATGAACTCCTTCCTTGCTTTCAATTGTAGTTTTTGGTGGTGCTCGAACGGCATTAATTGCGCAAACGGGCAGTCACTCAACCCCCAGAATCGAAGACAGCCTCCAACTCTTGTATACGTGAAGTAGGAAAGTTTAGTAAACGTTCGTCCGACAATAAGTCCACGAACTGGGCTTCATCCGGGACAACGAGAATGGGTATGTCCTTCGCTCGGACACCATCGATCTTTATGTCAGATGGCCTCCGGAGGGCCATACAGGCCTCCTGCAGAGGTCACAAAAAAAACGTTAGAAGACTGGTGGAGGGAGATCAACCTCAGGGAACATGAAACGCGCAACCGTCCCCTGGCTTGGGCATCAACGCTGTTCAAGCCCGCCCGATCCAAAAGAAATAGCGGCATCCTCACCATCAGCAAATATATGCCGGAAATTTTCATCGTAGTCCCATGTGCGTTTGATAGCGTACAGTACCAACGCCATCCAGAATAATCTAGGCCTCCGAACGGCCCCACTCTTCCTCCACGGAACGTAATCACAGTCGGACGGTGCCGACTCACGTAGCGATTGGACCCGAGCCCAATGCCGAGCGTCCCTCGACACATCCATTGGACACGACGTCCAGCCGAGCACTGACGCAGCACTCGTATCCAATCTTCATCTTCGCGCGATCTCGCTGTGACGACGTCCACTTCTAGTGCACACGTTTTGGCTATTCCAGCTGGTGTTGACAGTGTACACGGGCGGCGTTCTCGCCATTTGTGGAGCTTGGCTATTACCGTCTGCGCACCGATCGGTCATGAGCCCTAATTTGATTGTTCCTAACGCATTGACTATATTTGTAACCGAGCCCTATTCTCCTATTCACTTATAAGTACGACCGACGCTACGATTTGATGGAGTCGATGAAGCTGCGCAAAAGTCACGCCCAGAAAAAAAAAAAACACGCAGAATCAGGGTGAATTTACTGAGAGCGATTGGTGTAGTCGGTCATAAAAAAAACCACAAAGACAGTAAGCACCGTGACGATGCACTATTTACGCTGCTTGATTTTGGCTAAGTCGGATCGTAGCGGCGGCTGCGATCGCACTTGGTGACATGAAATATATTCAAATGCTCACGCTGGGCTCGCGTTCCGTGCCGCGTGCCACACTCTACAACACAGTTCGTGACTATACTTGGCGCCAACTATTTCGTGTGTTGAGTGCCGCAGCCCCGCACTGCCACGAGAGCACGTAACTTTGGTTTAGGTCTTATTTTCACGCGCATGCGCAAGTAGCTCCGACGGCATCGGAGCACTGCAGAAGCTATACGCTAGCCTTGAGAGCATAGTTATTAACAATAAACACTAGAGGTTCAGGTGGCGCTAGTGTGCTGTTGCATTTTAAAGCAGAGAGCAGCCATGTCTATCTTTGACTTCCGGTGATGCATTCCTATGGGAAAACGCAAATTCGTTTTCTCTTCGCGCTCGATTATAAGAGCAAATATTGCTTAGTGTCGTGACGGAATAAAAAAGTTTGGAGCATTTTACAATCGAATCTACAAACATATGTGTCAGAGCGTTTTTCTTTGGAATTCATGACGTTGAACACTCCGCTAAAATAGCCCAATACACATGTATTATACTTGCTGACGTTCCAGACTGCTATTATATGGGCATGTATTTACGCATATCGTTAATGCTATGAAGCACAGAGGTTGAATCAGCTTGGCAAAACACCAAAAGGATGCTAATTTATGCCAAATCAAACAATTAAAACAGACGAAAAGAACGAAGCATGAATTTATAGAACGAAGAACACGCACTGAGTTAATAAACAATTTGTGCATGAATCATCAAAATAAAGCAGTAACCCAGTGTTTTTGCACTTTTTAATTGTTATTTTTGCTTGAATCGATAGCCTGCATTGACATATCATGCTGTACAACATAGGCCTGAGACTCAATATTTCCTAACTTAAACATCGCTCAGTAATAAAAAAAAAAAGTTAACTGAATAACTTGCACTTTTATAATGTGAATAAAGCTACGTAGTACCCGTTACGAGTAAAGAAACTACGCTGATTTCCATTATTCCCTGGCGAAGAGAAAAATATCACGTACGTTTTCCCATAGGAATACACAGGAAGAATGGAAACGTAGACTGGTAGCTGTCTGCTTCAGTCTGCAACCGGAAGTCCCGTAGACACTAGCCACAGCTGAGTCTCTAGCGTTTATTGTAATAACTCTATGCTTGAGGGCGTCGCACGAAATGCTCGGTGACATTGGGATTCCCGTGACTATGTGAGTAAGCTACGCGAACGAGAGACGGAAGGAAATAGTACGTTTGTATCCTTAGAATGACACGGCGTGAGAGTAGCCTTCAACTCACTATCTGGATGAGCATCGTACCGGCGTGCGCTCGTGTATCACTACTGCGTGGTGCACGTTAAAGACCCCAGGCTAGCGGTTGTACTGCACTGGCTAAATTGCTCACCTACAGCTGGGAGACTCGTCGCCCGTTGAGGCAGACCAAGATCTAGGCTGTATAAACATACACACAACGCAATTTTTTTTCAACTCACTGGCGTTGCATGTTACTGATAAGGTACGTACCACTAAAATTCGATATCGTTTTATGGTTCCCTGAGGTGTGACAAAGCCGGGTCTCTCACTTTAGGCGAGATCTAAATACAAAATGTAACAAATAACAACGGTTGTTGCTCTCGACAGCGACTGATGCACATCGATCCAATTGTATTGTCTTTGTCCTTACCTCTTGTATCCGCCAGATGTCACCAGCGTGTGCCCGAATCTCATAGCTGCGGATTGAAACTCCGTTGCGATGCCAGGGTCGATGCTTGAATCCCACCCTATGTGGTAGCAACAGTGGTGGGTTACAATGCATACGAGTCTCCAAGTTTAATAAGCGTTACCAAGAGCTATAGTTGACTCCTAGGTGGAACCATTTCGAGGCAGATGCCGAATTTCCGGGAAGGAGACAGCGCTAATAGGGTGTTCATCCTTAAATATGTTTACGTTCATCGGAGTATATCTATATATAAGGTGTTCGAAATCACCAGGCTCGATCTAAAATGAACCGTAAAAATCTCCGCCCGCACGAAGCAATCTAAACTTTTCGTCAAATGTGTATTTCACATGTCCGTTTTCTTCTTGTAAAAATACACATCGTAGCTCTTTTTTTGTAAAATATAGGGCCACAAAACTTTCCAGGGTCAACGTCGGGTGGCGACGCAGACGACTGAGTCGAGCGGAGGGGTGCGTAAGTGGTTCAGATGCTATTTCACATCATAAAATACCAAGCGACCAAGGTGGCTTCAAACGATCAACAGTAGAAGCCATCATTTTATATGTCATCAAACCATCAACAGTAGAAGTAGAAGCCATCATTTTATTTCAACTGTTTAGTTTCAATGAACAGGCGTCGTCAACGGCACAGTGAACCCAGCCTCGCGAGATTCGATTTCGATTCGCTGCATATTTGCAACACGCAGCGCTTTTTTCACACTAACAAGTAATGCACAGTCTCAGATTATTTTCTAATAAACAGCTTGCCTTTGGGGCGAAAGGAAAGCAACCTTATGTTTTTCTAGTTCTTGTCATTGCATGCACACATTCTTCCCGACATTTCTGTAAATTATATTTTAGTTACAAAGCATTCTGCATCGCTGCGAAGCATTTTAACAGGTGTCAAAATTTATAAAAGATTCATAAAATATCACTGGGATATATACATAAAAATTTATCGAAACACAACTATTCTAAAAAAAAACAAGTGTTGATTTAATAACGCAATAAACGTAATGTAATAAACGTTAACGTAATAAACGAAGTCTGTGGATTTAGTATTTTCTCGGTTATTTACTTCTCGGTTCCAGTTCTTATCACCGCGAATGCGGATACCAAGTGAAATTTGAGCAGACACCGAAGAGGACGAATTTATAATTTTCTGCTGGTGCCTCAGGCTCTATAATGCTCTGACTGACTTTTCTCTGTGTCCTTTCTTTTTGCCCTTGTTTATAACGTACCGTTGCTACTAATACAGTTTATGAGACTTTCCTTTAATTAATATTTTATTTCACCTCGTTTTTTTGTTTTTTTTCATGGACCTTATTGGCCACTGGCATTTGCGCTTTTGTCTTACCTTTGTATTCGGAAAGCGGAGAGCCAAGCCATTCTGGGAGCCAGTTGTTGATAATGACGTGCTGCAAAAAGCGCAGAGATTTATATCTATTCAAGTTGCAATGCGGCCAAGAGATGAATTAAATTATTTGCGAATGATACTTCGGGGAACATTTTGCTACCTCAAGAAGAGATACTGTGTGTGGCACTGTTAGCACGAACACGACACTGCTGATTTTCCAAGTCACTGGCAGTTTTAGAAGCGCAGGCCGGGGCATGTCACGGCTCCCAAGTTTCCTTCGCTCACAGCCAATGAGATTGAACAAGAAGCTTAAAAATTATAAGCCGCACCCAGTATTTCTTAAACCAGTGGTTCTCAAATGGGCGTCCGCGAAGGCATCCTAGAGGTCCGCGATGCCCTGCCTCCCGGCAATTAAAATTGTTTTTTTTTTCTTTTTTTTTTGTTTGTTTTTTAAATTGAGAATAAGCGTTTTTGGTTTTCGGGTGAGTTTTTTCGTGTATATGTCAATAGGAGAAGTCTACATCACACTAGCCCTTAGATATATTCATTTATAAAATCACTATCATATTTAATCAATAGCCGCCTTCCCCTCACCACGAACGGGGTCCTTTATCATTTCCGCCGATCCACAAGGGGTCCGCGAAGCATCAGTGGTTGAGGACTACTGTCTTAAACTATCAGGGACCGGAAGTTTTTTTTTTGTTTCTTTGTTTTTTGCATTAAAAAGAAAAACGCTATTAAAAATACTAGAGTTTTAGCGGACTGTTATAGATAAACGAAACAAGTCCACAGAAGAACAAGACACGATCCGTCTTGGGACCTGCTAAAACTGGAGCTTGAAAGAGATTCTCCTGGAAATCTCAGAGCGGCAGCCGAAGCTTTTTAAGAAACCGTTTTGTGTTGATAAGTTCCTGAGAAATAGTTAAAACGTTCCTATTATTTTAAGTTTTTTTTTTTTTTTTTTTTTTGTGTATACGTTGCCTGGAGCGCGTCTCCGACTGGTGTGTTTAAAGCGTCCTGAAAGTGTTTTCTTGATTTTCGCCTGATGGCCTTATGTAAAAGAGTCATGCTGCAGAGCCGTTTATACTGAGGGTGTTTGGCTTTCTCAAGGAGGTTTTAACAGCCTGGCAACCACAGCAGCGTAGTCTGACAACGGGGGGATGACTACTTCCGTCCGCCATTTTCTGGCTCTGACTCATATAGAACTCTATGCGACTTCTCGGGAATAAACGAGACATATAAGTAACGCCATTTTGTGTTATCGCGAAATCCGCTGGTTCTAGCGGGCAACAAGACCGCCCCCTGGCCAAACTCTCTCAGTATGAACGACTCTGGTCATGCTGTCGCTGACCACGATCCTGGCAGGGTCACAGCAGCAGCGTTGGAAATAGCAGACGCCTGATCTGCTGCAGGTCCCTCTCTATCTTAACAGGCTACAGGAGCTTCAGCAAACAGAATAAGAGCGACACTCGCGTTCGTTTGTAACAACCAGGGAGAGGGGCTTAGTGCAAGTAACTGGCAGCTGAAGAAAGTGTCTCCTACCCGGCTGCCGCCATGTTGAACATTTTTGACCACTAGGCATGTGACCTTAGAGTTTTATGTCTAGATTTTAACGAGGTACCGCGCACATAGAGTTGCTTATTGATCTTTGATAACAGTAACGACGAGATAAGTTACGTTTCGTTTGTTTTAAGTCCAAAATGCGCTTTTACGACAAAACCTTGGGCAGCTCCGCAATGGCTCCTGCTAGATGCCGTCAGTTGCGGTGCTGTATTTAGGGGTGTTTATCGGAGCTATGCACTGATTTCCGAGGCTATAAGAGATTTGGGCAAGTTGGGTCATTGCGAACAGAAAGCGCCAAAAAAAAATACAGGGACACAGACGAAAGGAAACAGGACAAGGCGTCATGTTTCCCTTCGTTTGTGTCCCTGCAATTTTTTCGGCGCTTTTTTTCGCTCTGAGGCTAACAGTGTTGAGAAATAGCTTCATCACGTTTTTTTTTACAGCTATCACAATGCAAATCTCCACTCAGTTTTACGTGAAAGCCTCGAGATTTGGTACGGTCACGTGTCTAGTGGTCAAAATTGTACAGCATGGCAGCAGCCAAGTGGGGGTCACTTTTGCCTGGTGGGCGGGATACCAGTTTATCGCTCTAAGCCCCTCTACCTCGTTCGCTTGTACTTTCCACCGGGACTTGTAGCACCAACCGCCACGATCGCAACATTCGACAGCATGACATGCCGGCTTCTGTGACGTCGTTTCTCGGCACTACTTTTGACCTGTGGGCGGAATATGGGACGCTAATCACCAGTCCAAGACGCCTTCCAAAGCGCTATACTGGCATTATTATTATTTTATTTTTTTTTTTGCTATTTTAGGGTTTTTTGCCCTACCTGGTGGACTGCGATGACGAGCTTGCGAGCCTCGTTGAAGATGCGTTCCTCGTTCCAGAGCCGCAAAGAGGATACGTTGGTCGAGCCCGCGTTCACAGTGCCGAACCGCTCGCACATGCGTTTAGCCACCGCGTTGTGGAACCGGAACCACAGCGTGCCCATAGTGAGCAGGAACGTGTTCTCGTTGCCCCTCGGGTTGCCCAGCCCTGCTCGAACGAACAAGAACAGCGATGAAGTCACAAATAGGCGACGGGATTAATGTCTATTAAAATGCTGAAATTGTCTTTAATATATAGGGTGGTTCAAGTCACCAGGTTCGATCTAAAATGGACCATAAAAATCTGCGCCTGCACATAGCCATCTAAACTTTTCGTCAAAGGTGTATATCACAGGTCGGTTTTTTCTTGTAAAATTACAAAACGTTGCTCTTTTTCTGTAAAATAAAGGGTCAAGAAACTTGCCAGACGACCAAGTCCAGTAGCGGAGTGTGTTTGGCGTTCGTATTGATAGATGGCGTCGGGAGCAGCGTCTGAAGGTGCAGCCGACCAGCAAAAGAGAGTGGAGGAAACGCTGACGAAATCCGTTGGCAGCAAAAGCGCCGCCGTTATGCTGACGCATTTTTTTAAACTTTAAGTTTTGCTTTTATTGCTTGCATTTATTTTTAACCGAAGGCACATTTCAAAAATATAATATTCGTTTTAATAAACCACGGTGGTCGCGATCCGTCGCGATAAGGTGGTAGCGCCATCTATCAATACGAACGCCAGACACACCCCGCTACTGGACCCCTGTCGTCTGCGTTGCTGCCCGCCGTAGACCCCTGGCAACCACCTGCTCCCCATCGGCCTGGCAACCATCCGCCTGGCAAGTTTCTTGGCCTTATTTTTTACAAAAAGAGAGCTACGGCTTTGTAATTTTACAAGAAAAAACTGACTTGTAAATTAACCTTTGACGAAAAGTTTAGATTGCTACGTACAGGCGTCGATTTTTACGGTCCATTTTAGATCGAGCCTGGTGACTTGAACCACCCCATATATACGAAAAAAGAAATATTCGGAAATGAGACACCTATTGCCACTGATAGCTTAAAGGCCAACGGCTAGCCTTGAGACTCTGCAAGGCAGAAGATCCTTCTCACCATGGGGGAAAAATAAACCGGCAACAGTAGACAGGGTAGAAGTTGATCGACGCCTATCATCACGAGACGTCATTACCAACCGGCCCCTCTCCTACTGCTTATGTCTGGCCGCGAGAGCCTTGGGGCGCTCCTGGACAAAGGAGGGGGCTTCGTGCCCTTTCCCCAGCTTCGAGCGTTTATGGGATGGCTTCCCTACCGCACGGAAGCCAAGACGCCTGCACTTAGAGAGAATTGGTTGTTTTCCTCCATCTAGACTTCGATGGCGCCGTGGACCGCCCGAGATCGAACGGCGACACCGTGACCAAGGACGTCTGGCCCATCGTTGTGTGTGACGCGAGTGGCGGTGTGTGAGGGAGAGGGGAAGGGTGTGCCTGGACGTTAGGAGAAACAATGGCCCCACCGCTTTGGTCGAGGCACTGGCCATGAGGATTCCCTGCTGGGGATATGGGGAAATGCGACTTTATAAAAGGACCAGCAGACGTGTGCTCTCAAGTTGAACCTGTCAATATGCAAATAAATAGAGGTGTACGAGACAGCTTTCCTGCTCCCCGGTCCTTCCCGATTCTGGCTTTCTGTTGAGGTCGTGCCCTGGGTCGGCTCCCTGCCGTACCCGAAGTCCCGGACAACCGGTCGGTCGCGGCACCCTGTGTAAACTGAAACTGCGGCGAAAGCTACAATCGCGAGCTAGCCCGCGCTCCTGACTTTGAGACACGCCTTTTTAACGCGAGCGCTCGTTTTGCGAAAGAACGCCTCGAAGCAGCGACTTCGAGCTCTCGCGCGCATACCATACTCTGTTTCACGGTAACTTGGCGAATTGTGGGGACCACCGCCCCGCGACCCCATAAGAGCGTCGGATCGATGCACGTGACATCACGTCAAAGGGACGTTCGTGTGAACCATGGAGGGGTCACGTGCTTTGCTCCGATGCTCTTATTGGATCGACGGTGCCGGAGCCTCCACAGTTCGCCAAGGTATCGTGAAATCATCGTTGCGTGAAACCATAACCTCCTACTGACGAAGCCTGGAAGATCGTCACGTGACGTGGCCGCCGAAAGTGAAAAGGTAGAGCAGCAGACAAGAGTCATGCAACGGGCGCCCCGCTGCGGCGAGACGCCGAAACACACTGGTCCCGAGCGATCGAATGTCCGCTCGTGCTTCTCGCGTTCCTCGGGCTGCCGCTTCGTTTCTCGTTGGGTTTGAAACCATGTTTCGGATCCTCGCCTCTTCAAAAGCTGAGCGCTGAATGACTCCCGAGAAATGCTCTGTGCTACCAGATTCTCGCGCTCCAAATCTGCGACCGGGCACTCTATGGCTCCGTCATCAAACTGCCAGGCTTTGTGAGTATAGAGGAGGCTATGGTGAAACAGAGTACAGACGATTGCAGGCAAGACAACTGGCCGCCACCATGTCCCTGCTCGTGTTGGAAAGCCCGTGCAATTTCAAGTTTGCTAAAGCTATGATCACGCGCACGCTGCCATGCTTGCAATTGTCCATAGGGTGTATTCACTGTCGGCCATAGATCTGTGTGTGCATGGGCGTACCTACTGGGGGGGCAAGGGAGGTGCTTGCCCCCCCCCCTCCCAGTTCTCGGAGTGAAGGGCAAAACATGTGTTTTGCCCCCCCCCCCCCCCCCCCCCCCCCATGAAACAGCCGCCAGGGGTCAGGGCAAACACTGGTAGGCGCCGCCCAAAGAATGCCATGGGCACCGGTTCCCCGCCCCTGGGGGGGGGGGGGGGGGGGGGTCTGGTTAGTTTCCTTACTCAAAAACAAGTTGATACGCCACTGTGTCCGTGGCTGCTGCAACGTGCATTTCGCACCATCAAGATTGCCGGTCTTAGCAACCTATTAATGCTAGCTCGTTCTGAGCATGCACACTAAACGGCGCTCTCAAATATGGCGTACGGTAAATACATCCCACAGGGCTACAATCTTGATTTCGCCCGCAAATCGAAAAGAAAAACTGGTATTGTAAAACAAATGAACATTTATTTTGAGACATGCCTGTCCTAATCAGGTAAAAAAAAAAATTTTTCCTAGGTTCAGTATCTCTTTAAGATAACATTAGGATCTGAAACTTTGGCACCTGGTTCGGACCGTTATGGCTACATTTGGGCGGAGACAGCGCTTGACTTAATTTTGCAATAAAAAAGCAAATAAGAAACGTTGACAATTTTTTTTTTTTTTTTTTTTTTGCGGGAAGGGGGGGGGGGGGGGGAGGGGATGGCGCAGACTGTCTGCTTGCATTGACGTTGTGGTGGCCTCCTTGCTTTACACGTCCTTCCGCAACATACATGTCGCACCACCAAATTTGTTTTTTCTTGGAAAGAACAGGTAGAAATGACCACCACTTATGGTGCAATGACTATCCGTGCGAGTCGTGTATATGAACCTGCCGAGAAATTTACTCACGGAAGAAACGCGAGACCGGCCGAAGTTGATGAAATCTAGGAGGCGGCGGGTTGGCCATCGGGAGACGGATGTCGTTCTCCACAGGGAACTGTCCGTTGTGGGATGACGCCAGCATGCCGCACTTGAAGGACCTCAGGGTGTCCGCCCACGTCTTGGACGTGCCGTATGTCAGGCCACCATCGATCCACGGTGTGATCTCGTTGATCTGTCAGAAGGACATCGGGTTGCTATAATACTCCAACTGTTTCTGACTCAAGCAGGGCACGATCTACTAAGCAAGATTGGAGACAACACGATCACTTTTTTTTTATTGCCCCCTGTTTTCTGGCCTTTCTCTGTAGGGTGTTTCTTATCCTGCAGAGGACCGTGTAAGTTTAAGAAATGGTCTTGCAGACAATCGTCTCTTCAGTGTATTTGCACATAAGAACTCCAGGTCATCGTTAGTTCACGGTGTGCTCTTTTAAAGCTCAGCTCTTACGCGCCCGTTTCCGGCTTGAGCGGCGATACCGTCGCCGTCGGCGCAAACGCGCGTTGCATTATGGGACGTTTGCCAGAGTGACGTCATAAGTGACATCACGTGTGACGTCACGAGGGCAACATTTTCCCGCTAAACTTGGCGGGAACTTTTTCTGCTAAATTTAGCGGGAAAATTTTACTCTCGTGGTGTCACAGTGACGCCACTGAACCTGGAAATATTTTTCCGCTAATTTTAGCGGGGAGAATTTCCGCCACATTTTGTGACGTCACACGTGATGTCACGTCTGACGTCACACTTGACCGTCCCCTCCGCACCCTCCCCTCCTCCTCCTCAACAGCTGCGCTCTAATTCGGCATTACAGAGAACTGTAAACGTCTTTCCCTTTTTTTTTATTTGTCACGAAGACATCAGGTAGCTATTTATCTCATACACAGCACAACTACCCGCGGGAAGATTGGAGACAAAGCAAGCACTTTCTTGTTGACCCTGACTCCGTTAATTTATTCTCCGCGGTTTCCTTGTGCTTCTCCGAAGGTCTAGACCAGGGGCTGCCAAGCTGCGGCTCTTCGCGTGTTACAGTGCGGCTCGCAGTTCCCTCCCCCCCCCCCCCACACACACACACACGCGCGCGCACACACACTCACCCGCCTTCCTCCCGGTCACACGAGCACTTCTCCAAAAAGAGAAATGGAAAGGGTTTTAAATGGAAAGACAGGTTTTGGTTTGGCAGTCTTGTGCTACTGCTACACGTACAGTTGGACTGCTTTTGACCCGGATAGATTGAAAGTAGTTCGAGTTTCATTTACTACGCTGGACAAAAGTTTAGGCTTTGGGAGCCTAAACAGAAAACCAACTCATGCTGATTTAGCAAGCATCCAAGGAGAAAGAGAGAGAAAGAGAATGAGAGAAGGTGAAGAAAGAGAAAAGGGACAAATTCAAAAAGTAACAATAAAAATGGAGTTAAAATGTGTTGGAGATACGAAGATCCGTGTCACAATGAATCAAATGTGGAAAGCAAGTCGTCTGCTTTTTGCGCAGGAGTTGCGATGACGTCAGGAAGACGCCGAGCTCTGATTGGCTCTGATTGAAAAATAGTGGGTAGACATCAAAGCAAGCTGCCTCGAGGTCCACCCATTATCTTTCAATGAGGGCCAATCAGAGCTCGGCGTTCTGACGTCCTCCACAACCCCTTCGAAAGAAGCAGACGAACTTCCTCTCCGCATAGTTCGATTCCCTGCGAAACAAAAACGATTATAAGGACGAGCTACACCGGGCAAGAGCGCAAAGCTTTTTGTTACAGGGCACCTACTTGTCGGCGAGGATTGTTGGGCGAATTTCCCGTATTGACATCGTATCGAGTGCGTAGAAAAGGCATGGCGGGAGCTCCGATGTTGCGGTACTCGTGGCCTTCCGGGATGGGGATGTTGAAGTACTCGGGGGGACATCCGGCCCTCTGGGCATCGAGGATCTCTTCGACCACCTGCTGACCTGCAACACGCCATCTTGTTCACGTCTTTCTTTCTCGCCCTCAATTTTGGATGAGGATAAGTGTTACCTTACACCGTTGGGAGACCTGCAGGAAGAACTGTCGTTTGTTTATGTCACTTTCCCAGTGTATTAGCAAACAGCCTGGGCGATGGGGCATTGATGAAGGGGCATGGGTCGCTTTTTGCAGGGTGCTGACTTTATGGCCATTAAACCGTTCGATAATTTTCTTGGTCGATTAGTAAAATCAAGAGTTCCGGCCTAAGTTGGCTCGATTGCTAAGTTTAGCACGCTTTGACGGCGCCAGGATGTAATATATACAGTACATGTTCGCTTCGGCATGCGATAGAAACACGTGATGCAGCAAATTATGTTTTTGCCTCCAAACTCCAGAGGTAGCCTAGACGGAGCGAAAGCCCCGAGATTAAGCCGCTTGATGTTGCCGTCTGGCGGACTTTTGAGGTAACCCAAAGTTGGTATATGCTTGAAACATCTTCTTACTTTTAAGTAAGTTTGTCAACTGTCTTATCATCATTGTGAAATTCAAAAATATACCCGTTGGACTTAGAAAGAACGCTGTATACGCCAAAGTTTGGACTGCTGGAACGCCCCCTATCGTGTCTCTAAGCTCTAATAACCTTATTGCTCGATAAGCTTTTTTATAGGACGTAAGATTTTTTTTCTTGAAAAATAAACGACACTAGGATTTCTCGCATTATCAGTGTCTTACCGAAGAAAACCAGGAAGGCTGTCTTTCCCGTACGGGACAGACCCTCTCCGAAGTCTCCCTTCATTGTCTTCTCGCTGATGGTGAAGGGGTTCGGCCTGTTCTGACCGTTAGGTCGGTATGAGCCATCAGAGTACTGCGCCGGGAACAGCCGGATCAAGTGGCCATCTGCGGAACCGCCAAGGACAAGGGTGTGACTGTGAGACGCGCTTATTGAAGAAGACAAAGGAGGTTGACAGAATGGAGGTTGGTAAGTGCAAGGATAGATTGCTTATCTTTTGTTTCTGCTAAATCACGGGAACTGAACGCCTCTTCGTCAAGGAAGGAAGAATTAACAAGACGGCCACTATAGTTGGTGACAGGTCAACGGGGAAGTGAAAGCTCCTCCCACCTCTTTCCACTTCAGCAGAGTGAACGCTGGAGAGGAGGTCGCCTCGTCTCCGGTGGTCGCTCTGCTGAAGTGGAAAGAGGTGGGAGGAGCTTCCACTTCGTTCTTGACCTGTCACTAATTATACTCTCTCTTCTTTTAGGGCGCAGCTCTTAGGGGCCCGTTTCCGGCTAGAGCGGCGTCGCCGTCGGCGTCGGCGTAACCGCGAGGTCACGTGACCCCCCCCCCCCCGAGGTCACGTGACCCACCAGGGTAACGTGACCCCCTCAGGCCACGTGACCCCTGAGGTCACGTGACCCCCCTGAGGTCGCGTGACCCCCTGAAGTCACGTGACCCCCCTAAGGTAACGTGACCCCTTCAGGTCACGTGACCCCCCTCAGGTCACGTGTCCCACCTCAGATCACGTTACCCCCTGAGGCCACGTGACCCCCTGAGGTCATGTGACCCCCCTAAGGTCACGTGACCCGCTTGGGGACACGCGACCCCCCGAGTTCACGTGATCCCCCTGAAGTCACGCGACCCTCGAGGTAACCTGACCCCCTGACGTCACGCGAGCCCCCTTAGGTCACGTGACCTCAAGGAGTCACCTATCCCTCAGTACGCTTCCATCTTCCCCAAGAGCTGCGCCCTAACTGGCGTTACAGGGAATTGTAAACGGCTTCCATTTTTTTTGTTTTTATTTCTTTTGTCCTTTTAAAATCACGTACATAGAATAACCTATGTTGAAGCATCTTTTTCTTTAAATCTATTAGACTTAGCTAGGGCTCTCAAAGTCCAATACAATTGATCATGTTCCGCGTCCTGAAACAAAATCGGTTGTCTTTGTTATTGTGCAGCTCCCGGCTACATAAACTTTACATTCCGCAAACTTCATCTTGAATTTTAACTTTGGCAATTTGAGAAAATATCCGCTCGATTCGCTGGCGGAAGTTGCGATTATCTAGGCGGAAATTGCGAATATCTATGACGGAAGTTGGGATTATCATAAAACAATTTGAGTGCAGCACTCTGGTGTATGTCGCTCAAAAAGTTTTGCAACATGGTGAAATGTAGTGTGCCGGAGCCTAGGCGTATTTCGTCCCATCCTGCTTCCGGTTTCAGTTATCAAGTGTGCTGTTGCATCGTTGCATGAAGCGTGCCGTATCTCCTCCTGCGCGCTGCCATCTTTGTCAACTGGGCTGTGCAGTGGGGGAGCAAATTGGCTTAGTAGGGCGAGAGGATGGATCATATCTGTGGTTTCTAGGCTCGGTGGTGTAAGCTACAACCCGTTATAGAGGGTACAGCCATTAGCTTTCATCCATCCATCGTGGAAGGCGTTCTGATCATGCGCAGTAGCATTCTTCTGCGGTGTATCAGACTCGCTTTCACGGTGTGGTAACTCTGCATTTTCGTTTTTCCTGGATGAAAAGTGTATTGTTATTTGTGCTACTCATGTTCGTACCTGCTGAACCCAGTTCGGGGTGGCTTGGGTTGTTGTACCAGCCGTCGTAGCCTTCGAACTCCGTCTCGTGGTACGGATCGACGCCATCCAGAAGCCAGTCAATGAGAGCGTTCTTGATGTCGGCTGGTTTCTGAACTGGGGGGGGAGGCAATACACTTTATTGTTAAACACTAAGCATGCTTCCGGAAATGACTCCATAATTTCTTAAATTTCTGTATGAGTTCGCTTTCCTGCAGTCAATCACGGCAAAAATAGGAAGATCCCCGCGAATGACGTAGCTTGAAATACGATTAGGCAAAGATAATGAGATGTGCGTAGGAAAAATTATCATGGCGTTTGACTTAGAAAAAATCGTAAGGGTGCAGGCGAGCTGGTGAATATTAACCATGTTGAATTAACCTGAGACTGGGGTAGAGAAGAAACATTAAAACGTAGAAGGGACAGAAAATGGACAGGACGACGTCTCAAACTCAGCTAACTTGTACATTTAGTCCACCTCCTCTCAAGGTCATCTCCACCAACACAAAAGAACGAAGTCTATACAGTTCAAGCGCCACAGTCTTCATCACACAGTTCAAGCGCCACAGTCTTTATCACACAATTCAAGAACGTTGACAACCTTTACTTGTCGATGCAATAAGGCAACATCCATCCACCTTTGAACTTGAACAAAAGGATCTCTTCCCCTACTATTTTAAACACAGTTCATACCTCTGAATCATAACACGCCCTCTCCACATAAAAAAAGAAAAACACTGAAACGGTAGTTGGGCCAATACACGTAGAGAACCATACAAAGCAAAAATGTTTTACAGTTTGTTTTTTGGAAACTCACAAGAGGTTACACTACAAACAACCTAAATGACAAATAAAAAAAATACATTTTTAGAAAGCTTTCTGAATTGCTTCCAAACTGTAGTGAAGCCTGACTTATGCAGTTGCCTAGAGACTTTATCCGCACGGTCTCCCTTACTACTCTCTTTACATCGTTCCTCTCTTTGTGTATTATTTCGGCCTCCGACCAGAGCGCCGTGCAGTTGTTACATTCATGAATAAGTTTTGCTATTTGCGAGTTTTGTGCATTGTTCTTTACATTTCTTTTATGTTCATTTAATCTGTTATTTATGCAGCGTGACGTCTGTCCTAGATACTTAAATCCACACTCGACTGGTATCTCATACACAACACGTCTCGCAACATACCGATTTTTCCCGATGAGCCTTTTTGCACTCACTCACACCTGTTTGGAATGGCGTCAGTTTACTTAATCTAAAATCTGAACTAAAGACGGTGTCTACTCCAAACTGCCTCGCAAATGCCTTCAGGTTGTGAGAAATTTCATGAAAATATGGTATTACGTTTGACTTGCCCATGGTCTCTGCGCACATCTCATTTTACAGATGTAATCGTATACTGAGCATTGTTATTCGCTGATATATTTCTATTGCTCGCCGTGATTTGCTGGCTTTGTGTTCTGCATTAATCCTAACTCGCAGAGCTTCTTTTTAAAATGCGGGGCATCAATAATCGACCTTAGTTTGATCAGTTTAGAGGGTGAAGAGGGAACGGTGAGCGGTATCGCGTTCCAATAATCACGCAATTAATTCGAGTTGCACAAAGAAAAAAAAGAGTGGGGTGGGAACCCAATTCGGTCAATAAGACTCCATGTGGCTAAGAAGATTAAAAAAAAAAAAAAGATTGATTGTAGGTTTTTTGAGCGCGTCCTTACACTACATGAAAACATTTATTAGAGTATACTTAGCTGCCATGTAATTCAAATCTGTCTGAGTTAAAAGGACTGCCAAAAGACATCACATCGACGATATAATTTATAGAGCCCAACTTAAAACCTCAATTTTCTGCAAATAAAAACATATTTTTAGTGCTCTCCACTTTCGAACTATAAAGATAGTCAAGGAGGGTTCAAGCTCCCACAGGTTCTAATTGTAGGGGAGGGATCAAGTTTTCAGATGGGTCAAATAAAGTAACCATCTACGAATTGTAAACGACGCGATGACATCATATACATAAGCCCGTAAATAAATCAGAAGCTAAAATAAATCGCTTATTTGGTACGTTAACCAAGGAACAAATAAACTCAGTACGAGTTCAACTTAGGAAACAGTTCAAGTTAATACGGGAAACCCGTACTCGAAAGCAAAAAGCGAAAAGATTGACAGTAACGGCGTCTATGGAGTCGAACCTTTTAGGATGTCCATCTTCTGTTGGAAGCTTTGAAAGTCCTGCCCAATAGCGGACACTGAAATCAGCATCACCGTTGCAGCAAGCTTATAAATTCCCCAATTACCACTTGACCGTTGTGCTATATAGTTCTTGCAGACTTCCATATACCGCTGTGGCTCTTGTCGCCATTGTGCAGTATGTTCGGACCGTGAAACAGCAGCAGGACATAAGTTGTGTCATCCTGACGTCACGTCATTCACTACTAATCCTGTAACGCCTGCCATGTTGTGTCGCGTCTGTTCTAGCCTATATAACTCGCTTCTTTCCACAATAAATGTTGTTCGTCACCCGGGATCTTCTAAATGGTCTATGGCGCTAGGATAGCGTTTACTCTTACCTAATGGTTCGTTGGACGGTGATGGCTGCGGTATTGGAGAAGGTGTATCTGGTGGAAGATTCGCATTTGTCACAGCCTCGGTCTGTGTCCTCACAAGGGGCAAAAGGACTCCTGCCAATAGCACTATTTCAAGCAGCCATGGCGGGCGCATGGCGACACAACTCGTCGCGAGATGCAGTCGATGCAGACAAGGAGAGCCTTCGATGACTTCAGCGACTGTAAGGCAGAGTGCGGGCGGATGTACGCTGCCGGTCAGCGATAAACCGAGGCGCTTCCAGTACACACTTCGCGGATGTTGCTCGCAGGAAAGAGATACTTCCTCTGTCGACTAGACTGAAGGAACTACTGATGAAGCTGCAATTCTCCAACCAGCGCATGTGGAAGCGTGTGGCACGACGGAGTACTCGCCCTAAGTAGATACCGCCGTTTTGTCGCTTTTGGTCTTCGAACCGCGTCGAAGAGTCGAGGAGTTCCTCTGCAAGTGACCTCGGGCTTTCATTGGCTCGGTAGGGTAAGTAGTTATTTCCGTTAACCAGTTGTTTGAGAGAGAATTTAGAATGTTTTGTGTTTGGCAAAAGTATGTGCGCTTTTAAAAAGGGGGTGTCATCTTACACCCTTTTGTCCCATATAATGCACCCCAAACCTTAATTTCGACGTACAGCACACTATAGTGGAACAGACGGCCCCAAATTTCACGAGGGGCTTGATAACAGTGCGATATAGCTTATGAAAGAGCTTAAAGTACGTATCAAAGACCACATAAAGAAAACACTGAGGTTTTTGCAGTAAGGACAAGAAAACCCCGATTATTATTATTTTTTTTTTTAGTCTGTAACACGTACAGTAACTATTTTAATAAGTTGTACCACACGGCTATCAAGCCTCTCGTAAAAGTTAGTACGGTCAGATCGACGTCTGTGCGCTGGACGTCGAACTGAAATTTTGGGGTGTTTTATATGCAACAAAGGTTGTAAGAATACACCCTTTTTTTGGGGGTGGTTTTAAAAGGAGAGCCGCACTAATCCATAGCTCTCAGCTGTTCGGGGGAGAAATAAAACTCGGATACTTAGTCCACAGTCAATAACAGGTAAGGGAATAACACAAGGCAAAGAAAGTACAGAAAAATATCAGTACAAAACAGTACTCACCTTTTCAGCAACTATTTGAGCCTTGAATGCTACATACATTTCTCAGAGATCAGCATCGAAAGGGAAATTATATTTCGGTAAGTGCTCTGTGTGATGCTGCTCTTCAACCTGATTTGTGTATCTCAAGGGTTATTCTCAAAAAAAAAATATAGATATATAATTGTTGCAATGCAGTGTTGTGTCTGTAGATGGAGACTCGTTTATGTCTGCGGCTCAGTACAAAGCATCACATGTTTGCACGGTACCGCGCTACTTTGACGTCAGTTAACCACACACCGTCGAGCAGCAGTAAGCTATTTCTGTGGTGTCGAATTGCCTACAGTGGACCGTGTGGTTTGCTATCCGGCGTTTTGTGGCGTAATATTGTTTTATAAAAAAACAAAATGTCGTAACAAATACAAGATGATATAAAAATCACTTTATTTAGTTTTGTAACGTTGTGATCATTCGTTCCCTTCACTGTAAAGCGTCTTTGTGCTTTAGCTTATTGCGGTTTCAAAAGGAAAACGTGTTTAGTTGTCTATCAGCTCGTGCTCAAGGACCAATGTAGAGATAGTGGGTCATTAACACATGAATGTCGTTCCCTCGAGGCAACTCCCAACTGCTGCTATCGTCATAGTTGAGACAACTTTGAGTTCCAGAGTGAGTTCGGTTGAAACCTGCCGTTGTGCGAGTGAAGTATACGTCTGCCAGCGCACTAAGTGAAAGGTACGTCTTCGAGAAAGTATATCAGTTTGAGCACTAACCTTCTGGCCTGAAAACAAAAACCGCAATGGACATTTTAGGCTTAGCCCTTTCAGTGAGCCCGGTTCCAAGAAGCCCCAACAAGTACGGCATTACCATTAGCATGTCTTTGTATTGTGATTTTAGGAGAGCTGAGAGAGGGGTAATTACCCCTTTCTCAGTTTGGTTTATATTTAGGTGGCACACTTTTGTGATTTAAGTCCAACTAGGGTGCCTTCATGTGCGCTTTGCTTAGGGTGGTGGCATCTCGCCATTTTGTCACACACACACGTTTGTTTTGATTTTTTGTTCAGAACCGCGTGAAAGAGCGTGTCCCTGCACGCGTCTGTGGCGCTGACTGTGCTATGGCGACATTTTGTTTTCGTCGATTTCTTTGTATTTTCCCCGTGAGCGCGTGCTGTCGGCATCTGGTACTACAAAGGGTGGCATCACCCTAAACAGAAGGACATTGAGGCACCCTAAGTCCAACAATATTCCAGGCTTCCGCGAGCTTCAAATCCTCTGCTTGATTAAGCAAAGTTTATACTTTCATCACGACCATTTAAGAATATTTTGAAAGTTTAACTACATATGATGGATTGCGGTAACCTAACCTGTCCGATCAAAAAGTAGATTGCAGTGGAAAAATTTCAGTACGCTAGCAGAAGCACAACGAAGGGTATATATACACCTTAATTAATATAAGAAATTTCAGACCATTCCTGTAATCCGTGCGCAGCTAAACATTGTGGTAAGAAGACCGGCAGAGATTGCATGTTTTCATGAGACCAACGATCTTTTTCATTAACAAAGGCATGTGCCATCTTACATTCGCTTCGTCAGTGCTACAAGTATCAAGCCCATTCGGTAAGTAGATCATGCTTCCATCAACCCATTTCTTTAATGCCACAGGCCAGTTTGGAAGTACATATCTGTAGAACTAAGAACGCCAGAAAAAGTCAGGCAGTCCACACCTGGTAGCTCACGTGACTGTACGGACGTTCTTATGACGTCCTAACTGTCTTGGATTTCCTGAAAATGTCTATAGGACATCTGTGCCACCTAGGACACCACAATGTCTTGACATCATAGCAAAAGCACCATAACGCAAGGAATAGACTATATTAGAGCCTTGTGGTGTCTTCCCTTGTCCTAGTTTCCATCGCACAATTCTATGAATTTGAACCAACTAGCCCATGTTTCCGTATTGTAGACCATAGTGATGTCCTCTCTTGTCCTTGTCTTCCTAGTTCCCTTAGTTATACGCAACAGGAAGCATGCGCAGATGCTTTGTTCTTAATAAAACCGGCTCCAGCGAATGCTCAGCATACCTTCAGCTCATTTAGATGAACTTTATTGTTTATACCCGTTTGCGAGTGCGGCCCCTGGGTGCCGCCATCTTGCGTAGATGTAGATCGCGTAGATGTGGGTCGTCTGATAGTCAAGCATTGAGCATTGCATAGGCAGACTCATGGTTGCCAGACGAGCTTTTAAAGCGCAGCTGCTTACAAACCTGTATAAACAAGGAATTAGTGTAAACGATTAAACCGTGAACTTTTGGCATATGCAGTTTGCCGCCAAGATGGACGTCATGTACCGGGCCAGCGCCTGGTTTTCGGCGCTGCGGGACAAGCCGTTCCCGACCATGTACGGCGAGAACAAGACTGCCGTGACGGCCGATGTCCTCGAAGCGGGACTCATCCTAGCCTTCTGCATTCTCACCTTCGCTTTCCTGCTGCTGCTTCCAGGCGTGCGAGGAGGACAGGTGAGAGATTGTTATATCGGAATTGATTAGAAATGTCGAAAACGTTGCATCGACGATCTTGTACTAGAAATAAGAATCCCAGGCCCGAGGAGTGTTGACAAGACAGCAGAGAATTGGCAGATCTCGGGTTCTGGAGACCTTGCTCAGTGTCGGCCGAATCCTGCACTTGAAATATTTCTGAAGCACGTCCTTAAAAACGTTTCCTTTCTATCTCCTTCTCGAATCATGTAAGGTTTGTTTAAACGAAAATTTATTACTGAAGTGAAACTTGCGGCAGATGTAGAATAACTCAATTATTGTGACATTTACGACGGCGGAATTATATGAGGCTTTTATAGCATACCTTATGATGTCGCGGAACTCCCCAGAACCAGCAAGGTTCCAACCTTTAGCACCAGCTAAAGGTTGGAAAATACCTAAGTCGTATTGCGTTCCTGTATTGTACGTACGCAGTAATTGTTGTTAGAGGATATCGATATATTGAAGCTGACTAGATATTCGTGTTCCGACGAAGGTCTAAAATGTGTGGCTCTTGCTCTTTTGCGTTTGTCAAAACTAGCACAAAATTATTAAACGCATAACTACTATAGCATTTTTTCTCCTTACAATTTTATGTACTCTTAAATTTTTATTTTCAGACGCAACTACTAATGTTTATATCGTAAAAAAAATTGCAATGTATGCGGACAAATTAAGCCTCGTAGCTATCTTTCGGAGCCACTAAAATCGCTCGTTTCTTCGCAGAAAATAAACGTGCTGGTGAGAGTCGGCGTGAGCCTCTTCATCGGCGCCTTCATACTGCGTGAGTTGGGACCTTCGCACCATAAACTTTTCGCGTCTGTAGCGACCAAAATCTTCCGCAATACTCTCCTTTCTCTCTGTGTGTGTGTGTGTGTGTGTTTTTATTAGCGCATTATGGGTAGACCAATATAGGCACCCATTAAAATTGAAAAGAAAAGATAAGATACTTAGACGATAACGTACTAAGGCAGGCCAGCTGGTCAAACATCTCTAAAACCCAAGACGGAGGCTACAAGGAGGGGACAGACACAAGAGGTCTTGTTTGTCCCCTCTTTGACATTAAGAAATGCAAAACGTCACGCTTGCATTGCTGGATGTCACAACTCAGGCAACGTTTTTTGGTCTAAACATATGTTTCGGCATCGTCATTCGCTGAGCTGCCTCCGTAAGTTGCGATGATTGGCTTCCGAGTGTTGTGCGGGAAAGTAGACGACCGGGCTTTTTTTAGAGTGTATGTAATGATGTTCGAGCGACGCGACTGCGGCTGTACACAATGATGCGAGGAACATTAACGTGACGCCCCAAGAACACCTCCTCTCTTGTGCAGTTTGCAATTTCGGCCAGGAGTGGGAGGTTTCCAAGATCAGAGCCGTCACCCCTTACCGAGCTTTTAGTCACCAGGAGCTTCATGCTGAGATTGAGGTGAAGATCGGCCTACGAAGCGTCAACATCACCCTCCGAAGTAAGTCCCTATTTCGTTGCCACTTGGCCATTTAACCCTTGAACCTCACAGCTGACTTACCCAAACCGCCCCCCCCCCCCCACGCACACACACAAAAAACAAATCTAT